AGAAGTGGTGCTGGCTCCTACCCTGGGGGTCTTCAAGAGGAGGTTAGATGAACACCTTGCTGGGGTCGTGTGACCCCAGTACTCTTTCCTGCCATGGCAGGGGGTCGGACTAGATGGTCTACTCAGGTCCCTTCCGACCCTAGAAACTATGAAACTATGAACTATAAATCCCACCCCGCCAGGCTAAATAACCCTGGGTCTTCCAGCCTTTTCTCCTCAGTCTTGCGTCCCAGGTCCCCCATCACTTTTATCGCTGCTCATTGCTGCTCTCTCCATCCGTACTTCTCAATCTCACTCCCCTTCATCCCCACATCCCAGGTATCCCGTTTTATTGTCTCCATCACTTTCACCCACATGGCTGTGCTGCCACTTGTTTCTTTTTCCACGTCCAACGCTGTCCCCGTCTTATGCTGCTCACGGTGAAGATGGCAGCACCGTCCCTTCGGGAAACGTGCACTTGCTCTGAACGTTGGAGTGGTTGGGTTGGAAGAGTGCTGTGGAAATGCCCGAATTCCTTGAAACCACGGGATCAAAGCCTTGGTTTTGATATCCTAATTCGGCAGATTTTAGTCTGAGAGGAGATATCTTGAGTTTGAAAGCCAATAGGACATCTTTGACAAGTTTGCAGATAGCCATTGGGTGCGGTTGCAGATACTCTGAAGGGCAGGATCCAGAATGACCCGATGGTCCACAATCAGTGAAATGAGGTTCAACAAAGTGTGTGCAAATATAGATGGGAATGACTGGCTCAGCTGCAGTGCTGCAGAGAAGGACGTGGGAGTTACAGTGGACCATAAGCTGAGTATGAGCCAGCAGTACTTTCTTATTGCTGAAAAAACCAACAGCATCCTGGGTTATATTAACAGGAGTGTCACCTGCCAGTCAAGGGAAGTGATTCCCCCGCTCACTCACCTGGATGGCACGCTGTGTCTAGTTTTGGGCCCCACACTTCAAGGAGGATGTGGACAGGTTGGAAAGAGTCCAGTGCAGGGTGACAACAATGATCAGGGGCCCGGACATAGGAGGAAAGGATGTAAGAGCTCGGGTTATTTAGTCTGGAGAAGAGAAGACTGAGAAAGGATTTGATCGCAGTCTTCAAGTACCTGAAGGGTGATTATACAGAAGATGGAGATGGCCTTTCGTCTGTGACTGTAGGAGCAATGGCCTCAAGCTGTAGCAGAGGAACTATAGGTTGGAGATCGAAAAAACTTTCTGATTATGAGGGATCAGGCACTGGAATAGGCTACCTAGAAAAACTGTGGGATCTCCATCCTTGGAAATGTTCAGAAGGAGGTTGCATAGCCCCTTGGCTGGGCTGGTTTAGTCAGAGACAATCCTTCATTGAGCAGGGGCTGGGCTAGGAAGCCTCATAAGGTCCCTCCCAGCCCGACTTTGTTATGATCCTGTCCGGGTGTCCAATCCCATTCTTCTCAGCCTGATTGTCTCATGTTTGGCTTCCAGCAGAGTTGACCCAGCTCGCTATCCCGAGGTGGATAAATTGAGCCATTTGCTGTGGGAAGGTCTCAAGCCACTCTGCTGCCTGCTGCACCTGGCCCTTAACTGTCCCAGCGTGTCAGGTTGGGGCAGGTCAGTCCCAAGGCCGGTGCAACCGTTGGGGCACCTTAGATGCTGTAAAAACCCTCCTCCACTTTGCCCTGTGTTTAGTCAGCTTTGTGCCAACCTGTGCCCTGTTCAAATTGAGCTGTTGAGCCGAGATCCTCAACCAAGAACCCCCTTTCTCCCTGCTCTGCTGTGTGACATGTTGAGTTCCCCTCTGCTCAAGAGTCAGCTGTGTTTTAGTGCTGTGGCTGTATAGCTCCAAGTACCAAAATCCTTAGTTTTTACTCAGAACTTACAGGAAAACGCATGTTGATCTCCAGGCCCCGGCAAGGGCTGAGTAAGGATTTCAGGATTAGGCCTGTAGTTTGTAAATAGCTTTGAGAGCAAAGATTTGCTGCAAGTGCAAACATTTGCCAGTATTACACTGGTAGCATTATGATTATTACATGTGATTTCTATAGCCCCACCAGAGAAGCGTGGCATTCACTCCGGTGAGAACTACGGCTTTCTTGTCCCCTTTCATTGTTGGCTGTGTATTGTGAAGCTGGTTGTTTAGTGCTTGCTTCTTGTAGGGTGCTGGTGAGATGCTGTTGGTGAAGGGTAAAGGGAGACCTTGCTAATAATCTCGTCTAGGCATTTCTTTCTGTTGCCTTAGCTGTTGGAGTAGCTAGGGGCATTTCAGCGTACGTGCCTAGTATACATGTAATTTCATGCTTAACGCTTCAATAAAAATAGGCAAACGTCTGTGTGGGGTTTAGATTGTAGCCATGTTGGTCTAAGGACATAGGCAGATGAGGTTCTTTGGGTAAATCTAATATCTTTTATTAGACCAGCTCAAATAGTTGGAAAAATCCTCATGTGTAAATGTCTGTGATTCCCCCACAGATACCATTTGAAAAATCCATGGTTGCTTGGAGGTTTGGAGGCTATGGGCTATGGGGTCTTTCATTTCTAGGCCGCACAACCTCTCTGAAGGAATCACTGTTCCTAACCCTGGGAGACTATTGGATGTCTTGTATGGAATGACCTTGATGGATCTCAGTTCTGTGGTGCCCATGTCATAAAAACAGCAATGCAAATTGGCATCCCAGTCGGCAGTGACAGCAGAAAGGCCAAGGGCTGAGTGGGCCATAGAGGCTGAATGCCCCTTTCTTACAGCTGTGACCTTTCTCTCATGTGACAATGGTGAAGAACCACAAAAGGACTCTCTTCTAACAATGAACAATGAACTTTACTACAATAATGAAAATAGCATTTGCTCCAAAACTTTTCTCTCTTTTTCTTTTTAGAGCTTGCACTTAGAAACTTCCCCATCACCCTGCTTCTGCCTGGATTCTTGCTGCAGCTGAAGAAACAGAGCACGTGTGTTTATAACCTTCAGGTTCAGGTAGAAGCCCATTGATGAGATACTGGGAAAAGTTACAGCTCTGCTGCCTGAACTGTCCTTTTGCTTTGGATAAAGAAAGCGCTTCACACATGGGGGCTGTCAGTCTTTCACTAGCATTCAATCTGTGTTTAAATACTAATATACAAACAGTAGTCATGATTGGTCACGTGTTTCATCTTCTGCAGGTGGCCTCGCAAGCCACTGTCTGTGTTAGCTGGTGAGTATCATTAGTCTGGTGGAATGGTGAGAATCTTCCAGTCTAAGAAGCATATTTAAAAAGAAATATCCTCATATGAAATGGATATACCTCTGTGCCCTCAGGGGTGTTTGTTGAGCCATTCAGACATAAGTACTTTAAGACTCAAGTGAAAGGTACTTTTTCATTTTTATGGTAAGTCATCATGAGACAGTAGAATATCCATATACTCGGTATTTGTGCACTTAGTATTCATTTAAAGGCAAATAACAGGGATAGTGAAGGAGCTAAAGCAGTGAAAGGAATGGAAAGCCTTGCTCTGCTTGGGGCACAGGTGATATCTTCCCCTGTTGTAACCCTGCCTCAGGTCATTTGACCAAAGGTGAGCAGTAAGCAAATGACTGTCCTGAAAAGTTGATACTGGAATGTCCAAACATAACAGAAGTAATTCATCCTGGTGCTGTTGGGGTTTTGCACAGTCTGTGCCCCTGTGCAGAGCCTCTAGTGCAGAGGTGAGCCGACATTTGGGCCAGAGGGCCACTTGGGGGTTTTGGTGAGCTGCCATGGGCCAGGCCAGCACTCTCTGTCCCCCAGCCCTGCAGCAGCTCACCAAAATTTCCTATGTGGCTCTGCCTGAGGACTCGGCCCCACGTTGTCACCACCCAGTGATCCCAGGGGCTCCTTGGAGATCAGCCTGCATCCTTCATAGGCAGGGCACACTCTGGGGCTGTGGGTGGGTGGGGAGTGCCATCTGAAAGTGGGATGGGTGGACAGGGCCGGGACTGGTGCCAGGATTGCGAGGCAGTGACAATGCAGGGTTGGTGCCTGGGACAGAACTGTGATCCAGTCCAGGCACACCCCTGCCCACTGAACTGAAGCACATCTCAGGGATGTGCGGGCAGAAGATCGTGGCTCTGCCCTGGGCCCTGGCCTCAGGCTGCCACTGCCCTGTGATCCTGGCCCTGCTCACATATCCCACTCTTGGATGCCACTCCCTGGCCACCCGCAGCCCCATCCCATCCACGTGGCTGAGTTCGCCTTGCTCATGAGGGTCCCAGATAAATATGGAGACCCTGCCCACCCACTCTGTTCAGCACCCCCAGTGGTAGGTGTGGGGCGGACAGGCCAAGGTGCCTGGGTAGCAGGGCTGGGTCCACCAGTGGCTTCAGCTAGAAGGAACTGCTGCCACTGGGGCTTCCATGAAGTGGAGTCCAACCACCGCCCTAGCTCTGCTGTGTGCCTGGGGGCGGTGGGATCAGCTGCATGCATCATAACCCTGGCTGCCCCTCACGCCTGGGATGGGCAGAGCCGAGAGACCTGTCACAGCCCAGATGGAATCTCTTGGTGGGCCAGATCCAGCCCACGGGCCATACTTTGCCCACCCCCACTCTAGTGAGAGGGATGTCAGGGGTTGGGCCACAGACAGTCATTTCTCTGATTGCAAGCACTGTGGAGAAAGGTTTACATTTATCTCCATGACTGTACAGTGCTTATCCCAAGGGGAAGGCAATTCTTACTGGGATGCCTGGGCAGTACAGTAATATAGTTAATAATAAATGATACAGCTACTTCCTTCTGCATGCCCTGTGCCTGATGTAGACCATATTTATAAAAAGCTTTTGGTGACAGTGCTGCTCCTATACTGTTAATGTGTCTTTGTGTTTTAAGAATTACATGCTGAAATCTTTATATTTATCCTCTCTCAACATCTACCATATTTGCAGAAGTGAAAAGATGTTTTTTTTCTACCTGTTAACACTATATATCTGAAAATCATGTTGGGCTCTTGCCTCTCAGTTCATCAGTAATCCTATTGTCCAGTTCAAATCTAGGGTCAAATGTTGCTCTTCTGTGGCTGAAGGGCCTGGGTAGTGAGTTGGTGAACCCAAAAGCCTGGTAGTTCAAGTCTGGGTACGAGTAAGTCATCTTAAGTCTCTATGACAGTATAATGCTGAAGTAACTTCACTGTTGTCAGTCGTATTATGGCAGATAAATATCAGAGGGTAGAACAGAGTCATTAGCTGAGAATCATGTCGATGATATATTAAACAAAATAGCATCTATCTCATTCTCCTGTGGCTTTCAGGAACAGAAGCTCACCTATTTCAGTAAGTAACTAATACTCAAAATCCCAAGAAGAAATGGTGATGAGTAAGAATATTCTGTTTTCACATGCTTGCTTTTCTGACAATAAAAATAGTTCAGAAATTTCTCTGCTGAGGCCAGGCATTTGTCTATGGTTCCTCTTATCAAACTGTAGTTAGAAACCACAGCCTAACCTTTGTAAACAGTCTATTTTTAAAATTGGCTTTGCTGCAGGCTGTCTTCCCTTAATGAACATTACTAAATTGCCTTTTAGGGAATACAGTAGTTTCTTGTCAACCTTATTTTCCTCTCCCTCCCTCTCTTTTAGACAGAATGAGTGCAGTAAGAAGGAAAGTCCGTGCTTTTGTGCGAGTCAAGCCAACAGCTGATTTTCCTCAAGATGTAATCAGATTTGGGCCAGACAACAAGGTAAAGGAACAATAAATACCATGAGCATCAAGGGCCTGGATTTTGATTGACGTTATGCCAGTAGAGATGAGGAACAACTGTGGAGTGTTACTGTCAATGGATTTATGCCCAGGATGAGTTTGCTCCAGTTTCTGTTATTATGGTACATTGATGTTCTCAGGAATATAGAACATGAAACCAAAAGGAATCTCCTGGATTCTCAGGTCTAGTTCCTTGCTGCTGCAGGCAAACAAGGCATATAAGCCTCTTCATTGATTTATTTTAATGCTAATTAAGTTGCTTGTTTGTTCCTACTACTTCTATGAGAAGCCTGTTCCAGAATGTCACTCCTCTGATAGATTAGAAACCTTCTTCTGATTTCCAGCCTAAATCTATACTCCAAATACGTACTCATTTACTCGTTTGTACTTCTGCCAATGTTGTCCTTTTGCTTAAAGAAGCTTTTCTCCCTTCTTGCTGTTGAGCCCTGCCATAAGAGCAATCGTGTCCCCTCTCAGCCTTCATTTAGTTAGGCTAACAAGCCACATTCTTTTAGTCTCATCTCACAAGATAGATTCTCCATTTCCCTGGTCATTTTAATAGTCCTTCTCTGCACCTGTTCCAGTTTGAATTCCCCTGTCAAGAATATGGGTAACCGGAATTGTGTATGGTATTCCGGGTGAGATCTAACTCATGCCACATACAATACTTCATTCCCTCTGGTGGAATGACTTCACTGGAGACCTCCAAGGATTGCATTTACCTTTCTCCTGACCACATCATGCTTGCAAATTAGCATCCTTCTATGACTGACTAATATATTTACATCTTTTTCCTTCTCTGTCATTTCCAAACTGTGATCCTCTTATTTTTAGCAGAGATTTTTGTTATTAGTGCAGAAATACATGGCCTTGCTCTCTGTGCTAGTACATTTCTTCCCATTTATCTAACACCAATCTGCAAAGCCATTCAATCATTCCTATGACATTCTGATCCTCCTCTGTCTTGGCATTGCTTCCCACCTTTTTGTCACCTGCATATTTCATTAGCCCACTTCAGCTTTTAGGGACCAAATTTGTAAATCAAAATATTGTACAAGATCCATCCCAAGACCAGGCCCTGAGGAATGCTGCTAGTTACCTCCCTTCTAGCCTGATAGTTCTTGTTTCAGCATAGCCAGTTCTCATCTCCCCTTCATTCAGTTTCTTACCCATCTTACAATTCTTGTATTGACCCTCATCTTCTCCAGCTAAGCTGGTAATTCCCCATGTAATACTGAGTCCTGAGAGATTAGTTCACCATACTACTCTAGTCTAAACTATCAGCTATTTCGTCAAACGAGAATATCGGGATCATCTGCCACAACCTCTCTTTGCTGAACCCACATTACATTTTGTCCTGTTTTCCATTTATCTCTGTGTATTGTATTTAATTATTTTTTCCTTCAAAGGTTGTTTTAAAGCCTGGTATAATATAGAGGTCATCCTTTTCATCTTTTTCTTCATAGAGCATAGATATCTCCATCAAGAGAGACATTAAGAAAGAAGTTGTCAATAACAAACAGACTGATTGGTCCTTTAAATTGGATGGTGTTCTTCACAATGCATCACAGGACTCAGTTTATGAAGCAGTAGCAACACAGTTGGTGTCTGAAGCACTGGGTGGCTATAATGGTAATTTTTCGTGCTAATAATTAAGTATTTTAAGCATTAGTGGTGTTCTCTGTCTGAGGAAGGGATGTCTGTGATGTTACATTTGAGAAATGAACAAGTTCTGCTGAGTTTATTCCTCATTTGAAACTTTTTCAGGCACAATTATATGCTATGGACAAACAGGAGCTGGTAAAACTTATACCATGACAGGACTAGGTAAAAACTACCAGCATCGAGGGATCATACTCCGAGCTATACAACAGGTACTAAAGATTTAAATGAGGAAAGAGTAAAAGAAAGGATAACTAATACAACTAGCATAACATCCCTTGCCTTCCTTGTTCTGAAACGTTTGTTAACTCCCCAATTACAGAATCAGGATCACCACCAATCCTTACTTCCTGATTTTAACAGACCCACCATGCACACTGCAAAAGTAGTTTTAGGGGCTGCTAAATGATCCCTAAAGAACTCTCAGGATCCATACCGCATCAGTGTCACAGCTTGATGTTCCACGGTGAGTTTGCATGGGAACACTGTGACCTTGTGCCTTGACAGTGGTGACATCTCAGTGAAACAGGGCAATAATGTATTGCAATGGACTGATGCATCATCCCATTGCATCATAAACATAAGAGGGCTGGGATATACAAATTTACCAGCTTCTCAAAGCTGGCCAGTTGAGCTCTGCATTGAGCCAAGTTTTTTGCATATCTCTGCAGTAGCCTGCTGACCCATGCACAACAGATAAACAGCATGTGGGGTTGGCATAGCCTGCCACGACCAAATGATAGCTGGGAAGTGTCTTATTGCCATGTACAGAGATTAATATTACTTGCTTTCATTAGTTCCCCCAGTGTGCAAGGTACTTTCCAGTCATAAAGAAGGACTAGCCCTTGCTGGAAAGTGCTTGAGCTTATTAACTCATTTTTCTTGTCTTTAATTCCCTTCTGAATAATTTCATTTGAGTTATATTTCTTGAAGCTAGTGTTAATGGTTTTTGTGCCATTAGAAAAAAGCAATCCAGTCAGCAAATGGAGTGTCCTTTTATGAATTGTTTAAAGAGGACAGAGAACATCAGTTTCACTTTTATTTTAGCTGCCCACCCTTGCCTTTAAAGGCATGATATTTTCATTGCAAGAATCACATGGAAAATCCTATTAAAAGACCTCCTGCAATCCAGCTCAGAGGTAGCTCCACACATGCTGAGAGTTTTTCGCATTCTGCAAAGCCACAGATAGATGGAAGCCTTGTTTGTGTACTCATACTGCCATTGACAAGCATCTGATTTTCCACGTAGGTGTTCAGGGCAATTGAAAAACATGTTGATCAGTCCATCACTGTCCGAATATCCTACCTGGAAATCTACAATGAGGTCCTCTTCGATCTTTTGTCCTCTACATCAGGAAACACAGCAGGGAATGTTCAGATGAACATAGTGGATGGCCCACAAGGTGTTCACGTGAAGGGCTTGTCTGTGCATCATGTTAGCTGTGAGGAAGATGCTTTAAGTCTCCTGTTTCAGGCAAGAAGACACAATACCTTCTTATTATTTCTTATCCTAAGATTTTTATTTTCATTAATTTGATCAAGGGGCAGGATGGTGCTGAGGGATTCAAGCAGCAGCTGGGACATCTGATTCTCAGGGTGAAATTGTAAACTCTTTCCATCCCTTTTATGCTGGGTAGGAGGACTGGAGTGACAAAAGCTCCAGTTCTACCAGAAGATTCCCCTGGTATTGCACTCGGGGAGACACCTGTAAGGCTGACCTCTGTGAATAAGGGGTATGCCAATATGGGAATGGAAGTGGAATGGAAATGGAAGTCAACCACTGCAGGTCCTGCAACTTAAACAGCTTCCCCACAGCGGTCAGAGGTGTAACGGGCTACTCTACCTGATAAGAGCCCAGGACTGGGAGTGCACAAAGTGGTTTGTTTTCAGTATCCCAGTGATCATAATCAGGAAGTCAAAGAGTAGTGTCCACAGAGTCTGTCTGGTTTCCTGCTAAAATCCTTGCCCAGGCTGTGTTGGCATTCCTTTCTGAAGGCATGCTTACTCACTGTCCTGAGCCAAATCAGAACTCTCCCGTAGCAAATAAAGATACCAGTGGCACTCTCTGAAGCTGTATTGGGTCACTTAAGGCATGCAGACTGCTTGATAAGTTATACCAAGGGGACTGTCTTATATCATGTGGGTGGGTGAATCCCAGGAGCATATATACATCTGTACCACTGTCACACACACATTCCTTAGTTCAGACAACAGGAATATGTATAATTTGTTAGCTCCAGCTCTAGGAAGCATGTCACACCAGTAACTGATTGAAGCCCTGGAAAATTTTTGTTTGGTTTTCTAACTGCCAAGACTGCATCAGATGTCTGAAAAAGAGCAGCCTTAGAAACCAGTTGGGTTACCAACACAACGGCCATTCTCTGTTTTTAGAAAGGAAGAAGGTGGTGTTGTGATTAAACACAGGACTTGGCAGCCAGGGAAAATGTGGATGCAGTCTGTAGCTATAAGTTTGCACATCATCATCTATTCTATGTGATGTAAATGGCACCTGCAGTTAATCATGTCTGCAAATTGTGGGCATAGGACAGGAGGCTGACATTTGGCAACTCTGCCCTTTCTTCTCTGCATTTCTCTCCATATCTGTAAAGTGGCATAGGAGGTTTTCCAAAGACAACAGCTTGACTAAGTTCCTATTTTTGGGTCTCCTTTCCCTAGTGTGAAGCTGGCTGCATCTCTAGCTCTCAAAGATTCGTCCCCTTTGAGGCACAGACAGGCCAGCCCTCTTTAGATACCAGTGGCAGGTGCCTTCATGCCTGCTTTTTCACCAGTCTGTTGTGGAGAAACAATCACATTACCCCTAATTGAAGCATTTGCTTGTGGTCCCTTCCTACCATATAAAAAAATTGTAGTTGTATATTATACTTAGAATTTGGGGAACTCTTTGCTTCTTGCTTATCAAGGAACTAAAACTTGGACTGAGACATTGTCTCAGAATCGGACTTACCTGCCTGCTCCTTTGAGAGCCAGACTGCTTGGAGAGATCGGGGAACTCTGACGTTTCTTTTAAAAGGCATTGGTGGTAAAACACTCCAGAGAATCATGCTAGTAATGCCCCAGAGCATTAGGCAGATAACACTTGTTCCTCAGATAGAAATCTCTGGATAAGCAAGTAATGATGTTGTTCTCTCTGCCTGTTAAAGATCCAAACAATGTTTATTTAACTGTGTGAATTTATAATTTTCTTTTGATTTATTCTACTGAGACTTATGTGTAAAACCACTGCCCTTTCTGACTTAATTTTCAGGGTGAAACCAGCAGAGTAATAGCTGAGCACACTCTGAATAAAAACTCCTCCAGGTCCCATTGCATCTTTACAATCTATCTTGAAGTAAGTGTTCCAGGATTTTTTACTCAGATCTCTAAGGGTATTTACAACTTTATGTTATATAATGTACTTCAGTTGTGTGACGTATTAAATATAAATTATTCCCCCCCAACCCCCAGTCTCATTCCAGAATATTGTCAGATGCCAAATACATCACTTCAAAAATTACCCTGGTTGATCTTGCGGGTTCAGAACGGCTGGGAAAGACTGGGGTAAGCAGACATAAAACAGTCACTCTTTCTAGGCAAGGGGTCTAGTTATGAAAGTGGAGTTTTAAGATTTTCTCACTAGGGTTAATGGAAACAGCCAAATCACATTTCCTTCCCCATTTACTGCTACAGAAGTCCTCAGGAGTGAATGAGCTCTAGATTTTCATTTGTGCAAAGTAAATTTTATTGTAGCTTGTTTCTGGGGAAACCAGTCCCAGAAGAAAAGAGCCGTGATACTGCTGCTTCTACATGGCTGCTCTCCCTGATGTAGCTATTAGTATCCCTTTGAATAATTTACACGAGTGACTAATTGCAGAGTTATCAAAACCTGATTGACACAAGAATCAACCCCTTAGTCAGTGAATAGGAAGAACAGTAACAGATCTTCACAATCCCCTTAAAGCAAGAGCTTGAATGTTTTCAGTAGCTGTAATGTTTTCTATGAAATCTGAAGATGTGTAGGTCTCCATACTCTTCCCATCTGATTTCTGATGCATGCTTCCTTAGAATCATAGAATCAATGAGTTGGAAGGGACCTAGACAGATCATCGAGTTCCCTCTCTCCCCAGGTGCAGCACTCTGCACTTGTCCTTGTTGAACCGCATCCTGTTCAGATCCGCCCACTTCTCCAACCTGTCCAGGTCTGCCTGGATGCGGTCCCTGCCTGCCGGTGTATTCACTTTACCCCACAGCTTGGTGTCATCGGCGAACTTGAACATGGTTCTCTCCACACCCTCGTCCGACAAGGTCATAGCTCAGTACAGGCAGGAGCTGGAAGCATTCAGCTTTACTTGGCCAAAGAACCTGTTTTGCACAACAGCTTCATGCTGCCAGTGGAATTTTTTTAGTGCCTGATGATATCACGTGGAATTGAGGCAATAACCTTCTTGGAACATTAGGGAACAACAACTGAAACCTTTTCAGAGCTCTCATGTGATCTTCTATATTGGGTCAGCAAAGAAATCCCCAGGGGCCTTGTGACAGACAGAGGGTTTCCCTTTTCAGGGCAAGAAAAGTCAGTGTTTCTAGCAGACTTACTACTTGCTTTCCAATTTGCTTTTCAGCCCTTTAGAAGCTGTAATCTCATAGTTACTTAATCTGTATTGGAGTTTTCATCTCAATACCCTTCCTGGTCAGACAGAGCCCTGGCATAGGATGGCGTAGTTGCGGCTGGTTCTGCTTGAAGCAGGGAGTTGGACTAGATGTGACCTCCTGAGGTCCCTTCCAACCCTTGTTTTCTATTATGATTGTATGATAAGCTCAATAAAGTGGAAGGTCCTCTGAAGTCTGGAAGTCTGTAGGGCTAGACTGGTTAAGACAGGCCAGTTTCTGTAGCCAGAGACTTACATATGGCTGACATTATTTCTGTCCCTTTTTGACTTCCCCATGTGAATACCCTGAATGGCTAAGTCAGCTGGATTCAGCCGTTGGCTTGAGTCCAGACTGGGACTCAAATTCACACTCCTAGAACTATAGTGAGCTGCTTTAACCCTCTGCCATCATGCCCCAATGCAGTGACATGTATCCTGCATTCTGCACTTCACCCAGAAATGTGTGCTGTGGACATGGTTTGCTTTTTTGGTCTTTGTTGCAGTCCGAGGGGCAGGTTCTGAAAGAAGCCACCTACATCAACAAGTCTCTGTCATTCCTTGAACAAGCCATCATTGCACTAGCTGATCAGAAGAGGGACCATATCCCCTTCCGGCAAAGCAAGCTCACTCATGTGCTTAAGGATTCATTAGGTAAGGACCTGGCATTGGAACAACCCTGACTAGAGTAACTGGAAGATGTCTTGGTTACAGTTATTACAGGCAGAAGAGGCCAGTGATGAAAAGCATGCAGTCAACGTTAGGCTAA